ATCGTCAAGATAACAGAGACATATTGACCATTTAAACCCTTGTAGCAGAGAGTCCATCAGGCGCTCGAACGTGGCTGGGGCATTGCGTAGCCTGAACGGCATAACCTCGAACTGATGTAGGCTGTCTGTAGTTACAAATGTAGTCTTCTCTTGGCCTTTTTCGTCGACAGCAATCTGCCAGTAGCTGGAACGTAGGTCTATTGGAGAAAAGTATCTGGCGCCGTGGAGACAATCGAGAGCGTCACCGATGCGGGGTAAAGGGTAAACGTCCTTTTCCGTGATTCTATTCAGATGGCGATAATCCACGCAGAAGCGCCACGTACCATTTTTGTTTTTAACGAGCACAACGGGGGACTCCCAAGGGGCTCGAAGAGGGTTCAATAATTCCCCTTGGCTAACATCTTGGTGACTTCTTGTTGAATTACTTTACGCTCGGTGGCAGACACCCGGTATGGTCGCCGATAAATGCGATGAGAATCACATGTGTTAATGCAGTGCTTGACGACTGAGGTCTGGCTGAGTGGACAGCTGTCTATGTCGAATATGTCATGGTATGAAGCCAGAAGGTGGCAGAGTGCGGCTGACGTCTCAGGTTCGAGGTCCGAGGCGATCATAAAGGGTAAGGTTGCATCCAGGCACGTGGCATCCTGTGAGTGACGTAGATGATCGGGATATATGTCTGCCGCAAAACAGGTGACGTGGTCGTCAAGTAAGGGTCTTAGCGTGGCGATGGATATTCTTTGAGGTAGCACTTGTTTTATGAAACCGAAATTGATGACAGGTAAATATGTTCGGTTAGCGGCCATGGTTACTACAGAGTGTGGGACAGTAATGTCACGCGCCAGGAGAACATCAGGAATAGGCCCCACGATATAATCACCGTCGGGCACTGTAGAGGGTGTTGCCAATTGAACGAATGTGAGAGCTTTAGGTGGTATCCGGAAGAAGTCAGTGGTGCACAGGCTGTTGGAGAGTTCATGGTGAGAATTCAGGAGAAGAGGAAGTTGTAAAGAGAGAGTGCCGGCGGAACAGTCAATCAGGGCAGAATACGTCGATAAGAAGTCCAGCCCGAAGATGACGTCATGAGGGCGATTGTCGAGCACGGTAAATAAAACTGGAACATGGCGGCCGGCAAGGCTAATACGAGCGGTACAATTCCAATGACGGCTACAGTTGCACCATCGGCGACACAGGACGGCTTGTGTTGCGGCAGGCGTGAGTACTTTTTTGAGGTGGCGACACAGACGAGCACTCATTATAGACACCTGAGCTCTAGTGTCAACTAAAGCCGTCAAAGATAGACTGTCCACATGCACTTCCAGCAAGTTCTTATTGGTAGGTAGCGTCAACGCAGGATTTGGGTCAGTCGCACTTGATGCAGCACTACCTCTAGGAGCTGCATAATCTAGCTTTCCATCCGGGAAGATCCATAGTTAGTCGGCGATGGATAGCGGTGAGGTTGGGGCGACGGAGAACGGCAGCGTTGCGGTGACGGTGAACGTGTGGTAGAGCGGCTGTTAGATGCGTTGGAAGCAGGATACTCAAGGCTTGGCGAACACCAACGGGGGTCCACGTATGGCCGAGAAGAGGAAGAAAATTGGCTCCAACGGGGGGGGGGGGGCGTCCAAGTGCTGCGGCAGTAGCGGGAGACATGGCCATCTCGGTGACAGTGGAAGCAGATTGGTTTGTCATCTGCCATTCCGTCGGATTGTGGGATCTGGGCAGAGTGTACAGGTCGTGGCGTGGTGCATTTATGGCATCGGTCTGTAGTCCGGTTGGGAGACGAAGCAGGCGACAGGAAAACCAAGGTTAGCGATTCATGCAGCACGACTGCCTAAATAACTGACACTGCCAGAGTGTTTGCATGGTGCCCTGGTCGAGTGGAAGTGCATGAAACGGCGCCGGATGGGCCGCCTCAAGCTCGCGCCGAACGATACGTGTGACATTCTCGTGCAAGAGTAGTGCGGTACCGAGATCAGTACAGGTTGACGTGACAGCAGTGTTAGGGAGCCATGAAAATTGAGGTCGAACTGGGCGGTTTTTGGCCATTTTGAAGCTGCGGCATTCCTTAATTATGATATCGATGGTCATGAAGTTGTTGTACACGAGCAAGTTCAAAGAGTCGTCCGCGATGATCTTGAGTAAGTGGCCCACCTTGTCGCTCTCGGTCATTTGCTCGTCCACTTTGCGGCACAACGCGAGCACGTCCTATATGTACGTGACATACGACTCGGTTGATGACCCCCGCCGCGGTGTTCTAGTGGCTAAGGTACTCGGCTGCTGACCCGCAGGTCGCGGGTTCAAATCTCGGCTGCGGCTGCTGCATTTCCGATGGAGGCGGAAATGTTGTAGGCTCGTGTGCTCAGATTTGGGTGCACGTTAAAGAAGCCCAGGTGGTCAAAATTTCCGGAGCCCTCCACTACGGCGTCTCTCATAATAATATGGTGGTTTTGAGACGTTAAACCCCACATATTAATCAATCAATCGGTTGATGACTGTACTCGGGTGGCGAGTTCTTGTCGTGCGGCTGTTTGTCGACCACATGGGTCCCCAAAGGTGTCGCGTAGTCGGTCCTCGAAGATGTCCCAGCTGGTGAGCTCGGCCTCCTGAGCGTCGAACCATACACGCGGGGTGCCATCAAAGTAAAATGATTACGTTGGCAAGCATCATGGTTGGGACCCATCGGTGAGACAGGCTAATGCGCTCTCGTACATGCGGAGTCAGTAGTCGACGTCAAGGCCAGGTTGGGCGGAGAGCGTACCGGGATCACGAGGGTCGGACATCGCAAGGTACGTAGAAGCTGGCATTCCAGGTGATGGCGGTGAGGGGGGTTATCATGAGAAGCCATGGCCGTAGGCTGGACGGTGCGGCCACGGCGAAGCTTCGTGGTTAAGACGGGGAACCCACCTCCACCAAATATGTTACGGAAGGGAGACGCCTTATCGACGCAGCTGTGGAAGAAATATATTTCAAACTAGCAGCAGCAGCGGCATGACCGGTAGACCAGACACTGAACGGAGACCACCCTTCGTCTGCCTCGTCAGGCACACGCGCGCGTCACCCCCTAGAATCTCAATTCGCGTGCTTGTAGCAATATGTTTGCCGCATGAAAAAGATATTAGACTTTAATTTGTGCTTCCTGGTATCCTCAATTTTGGTTCAACTTTGTCTCGCAAATTTCGTTTCAGAGTGCGAGCAGTCACTTATAACAACAGAATTGCCTATCTCACTCTCTGTGTCCGGGTTGTTGCTTGCGGAAGTTGTGTCACTTCGTAATTACTTGTTCGCGTTTCACTTCTCAATGACTGCACTTCAGAACAACGCGAAGAATTGGAAGGACACCTGGAGAGTCTGTGACGACGCTACGCGGTGATTCTGACTGGGGCAACTCCCAGAACATTGTTGTTGCACTGCCATGTTCTGCCAATCACCCAGATCAGGAACAAGTGGTGGCTTGGGATCGCATATTGGCTCGTTTTTTTGTTTGTGTGGTATCGAATTCATTCGTGCATGAAAGTTACAGAGCATCCGAAGCGCCAGTATACCACTCTCGTGTAGACCTTGGTTGCAGGGACAGGCCAAATATGAGCGTGTATGTAGCCGCTCCCACACCGCTGGCCAGTCTTGCGGAGCTTGCTTTCATAAGTGATGGACTGGCCGCACAGCGGTGTTCAACACAGCCGGATATATTTAGCTTAGCATTCGCGCTGACTCAATGCAAGCTGTTCACAACATGCACCAGATGCATCTGTCCACAACTTTCTGGTATAGTATTCGCCATCTTCCTTCCTCTTCAAGTGTAAGGATGCATGCGTTTTCCAAGTCAGTGGTAAAATTTTATTCGATACTATTGATATGAAAGTTTTTTTCATCAACTTAAACAATATCAGTCTTAGAGGGGCCTCGACACACTATTTTATGTCAGAATGGAATGAATTCACTGGAAGAGCTTACTGCCTCACGAATTCAACACCGCAAAAATTTCAAGAATCCGTCTAGTGCGAGTGGAGTTACAAAAATTAGTCGCATGTTTCAAATGCATTCTCTCTTTTCTCGTCCCGACAAAAGCGCTGGAAGCTAAGCAGGGAACGATGGCAGGGCAAAAATAAAAACACTACGTCAGCCACACCTAATTGTGTTATATAATACAATTACAAAAAATATACGCTTTTAGTGCGAGAGCAATTCGTGAGCACAAAAAAAATGAAGGGGGGGGGGTGCAATAAGTGAGTGGGGAGGCGCCGTCATTTTTTCACGCCCAACTCCGTGGCATCATAGATTGGGATGGTGCATACTGTGTCCTACGCAGTTCCCAACTGGTGAAAACGAAGCACGTTGTCATTTAAACAGACCACAGACTTTACATACCGAGGTTCAATAAATTGTTCTTACATAAATCCACTGAAATTAAAAAAAAATGCTTTAGGATACATTACTTCAGACGTAGTATAACGACACTATTGTTTTCAGAGTACTATTTATCAATCTAAAGCAATGCATTATTTACTTCGCTGTTACGTAAACCATAAGATTTCGTCGCTCCATTCACCTTTTCGGCCATCTTCAGATGACTACATCTTGTCTGCTAATACACTATAAACTAAAGTCAACACAGCCCCAACATAAGGTTTTTCTATAAGCACACTGAAGTTTTTAGGAGTGGAGCAAAAGTGTTTCAGGAGTGGAGCACTGTACTCCACAAGTGTGTCAGTATAAATGAGTTCATAACTGTTATTAAATTGTACCTTCCAAGCTCACTAGATGTATTTCGTCCCCAACAGAATATTACATGATACTCTAGTGTTACTAACCTCTCGGACAGTACTCGTACTGAAAAAATATGAGTTTTAAGCGCATGAGTTCAAACATAGAAGAATATTCTAATTGTTTTCAAACTATGAAACTAATGATCTATTTTCGCAAGTAGCACACCCACACTTCGAGAAAATTTCACGTGTTACAGCAAACGTAATTCTGTGGACGATACGTTTAGAGCTTACCGAAGGTGCGGCGTAAGCTGTCAGCCGGGCCAGCACGGGATGCAAGAGGTACCATTTCCACGCAGCGACCACGACCCACTTTGTGGTCTCCCATTCCCAGTTTGTAATGTCCTGCATTGCAGAGTGAAACGGTATTGCTGACGAGAATGAGTTTAGAAGATTAACAACATGCATAATTTCATGTGTAGGCGCATTGCGCACATTTGTGTAAGAACTAAATGGGATAAATATTCTGTTTGCATTATTATGATCCCGTATTCTTGGCTACAGGTTTCTTCTGTTTTCGCGTTTGTTCATTTTTTTTATTTTTTCCTCTAAACACAAATATTGCAGTTGGTGGCATAGGCGTGTGCAGAGTTCCTCATAAGAAGTTGGGATGGGGTCGAAAGTTTGCGACAGCACCCCCTGAGTAGGTCTACGTGTAGGGCAAAATTTGTGCACCCTCTTCCGGCCTTCTAGGTAACTAATGGGCGGAAACCCTCCCCAGCCCCTCATGCGTGCGCTGATTGGTTGGGAATGGTACTTGAGAGACAGCTTATAATTGTCCACTGATTGGCTGTGACATCATGGCGAGCTTTTGGTTTTGGAAATTGTTTATCAATCGTAAAATTTTGTGTTGCGTGGACACTTGTTTGAACTTAAGGTCTAGTTTTGAAAACGGGGGTGTTATTTTATGCGCCTTCATGTAATTTTGTGCTGGGTCAAGACCTTGCGACGGCAGCTATTACGTGAGAGGAAAAAAGAAGGCGGCACCACGCGAGGGTACCAAGGCCTCCTCCCATACACTGAATGAATAAAGGAAAAATGCTGCATTGTTTCCTAGCATATGAGTACCCTGAACACTTTGTAGGAGTTATATAACTAACAATAACTTTATTACCTCCTTTTTATGACGTTTCACAAAAAAAATTGTGGCGAAATATTTGTAAGTCCTAGTCAGCAACCAGTATTTTTTTTGTAAGTTTGGACAGAGTGCTTTTATATGACACCCACAGTGTACATTGGAACGCGGTAACATTCAGGTCGCACAACGTGGAAAGTTAAATAATGCATGTTACGGTTTTTCATCCAATAGAAAACTTCCTGTGCCCTTTTAAAGGACGCTTTGTGCAGAGAAACGCGTGAAATTCAAACAAAAGGTGCTATCCAAGGGCTCACTCAATGCGAAACAAGTTTATTGTCTGTTAAGATAATGTATGCGTTTATCAATTGTATTTAGAGTTGCTTTGGAACAGTCCATTACGGAAGCCTCACGCAGGCCTCGTATGAACGAACAAGGGTGCACCAAAATGAGATATCTTTGATGCTTCATAAAGACATTGACGCATTCCTACTTGATCATTCTCTGTAGAACTCCAATGAGCCAAGTCAGAGTGCATAACGTGAACCGCTCACTGCAACTTCGACCTTCATCCGGCTTTTATGACGTGAGCGTCTGCTTCTTTAAGGCTTTTTGTTGGCGGTTGTTATCATGAAATCAAATGCAACGTAACTGCCATGAATAACAGCACGCTGTGTGACCTGTGCGGCACTGAAGAAAATATCGAAGACATGCTGTTGTACTGTCCTCGGTATGCCCAGGAAAGAAAAGTACTTTTCAATGTACTGCGATGAGAGTACTTTTTGTGCACACGCTAATGAAAGAGCATCCTAATTGAACGTTGGCACAGAAGGCAGTGAAGCAACTTGTATTTTTCTAGGGGTGATAGGCTTTTTCGAACACCTTTGACTTGTGGTGCGGTGGTGCGAAAATGTTTTGTTTCGGTGTCCACCAAGGCTTTGGTGACGTATTTCCGTCACGCCAATGCCGTTGAAAAAAATTGTCACAGTTTGATGGCACACAAAATAAGCCAGTCAACTCCTGTCGAGCCTAAAACTTTTCGGCCCGTGACAACAGGTGCTGCGCACGCTATGAAAAACGCCATGGCCACTTCTAAAGATGTTTTTTCGTACGCCAAAATTTTGGTCTGTCTGTGTTTCTGTTTGTCAGTGCATTTCTCTGTTTGTACGCCGTAACGATATCCCAAATGGCACCAAACGGTACCCCTAACGGCCTACCCCATCCGCAGCGTGAACCCATATTACTCAAGTTTCAGCGTTCATACTTGTGCCATTGTCGATTAAAAAGCAATTTTTTGCGCATAATTTAGGCACCATAACAACACGTGAATATTTTTTATGTCTGTCGTTATCCTACAGAAGGCACATATAAGTAATTCCAAGCATCGCAGCATTTATCACGCTGAGCTGACAGTGCAACGCGACGCTCAAAAGGAAAGTGTTTTCAACGCTTTGCTAAGACGACACGATGGTAGAACCTGCCCGTCACTGTGCGTTCTACACCTTATCCCCTCAGATACAGGCATGAATCTTTCTCTGTGGGCGTGCACGCCTTCCTCAGATATCGAAGATAACTGCCAGATGGCGCTCGTGTCTAACGTGCCTCGATACGCTCGTTCGCCTTCGCGGCACTGATTGATGCGCAGTGCCTCCAGAATACAGTTCACCGATTTTCTCGCGCACATCAAATAAATGTTTAGTTCACTCTCTCCAGACGCACGACTATATTCTTTTGACGACATTTGCAGTGAAACACGCAGACATGGGGCCGACTTTTTTTTTATATTTGCACTACAACACGGTCACGCCATGGTCACAGCACTAAGTCTATACTAACATGCCTTTACACATAACAAGTTTTCGCATAGTTCTCACGGCAAACTGAAGTAACATATTGCTACGTGTGTTTAGAAGACCGAACTGGACTGAACTGTCGCATCGCGTTCGTTATCCCCGCCTCACATGGGATCAAGTGTAGCCGCCATCCTGATTCCCGAATGCGTTTCCACGCAACGAATACATAAGGGGTCACTGCATCCGCCAGCGAGCAGCCTGGTGGCCACCATTCGGACCCGTTGTTATGTTTTTGGAGTCGCCGAGCTGTGTGTGTTATCTTGCTTTCGGGCGCAAGTCAGCCCAATAAGTTACATTTATCTTCGTGCCATCGTAGTCTACCTTTACAATGCTCTGTGCACCAGTCAGCTAACCGTCACCTACGTGAAAGTATCATGACCGTGTCATTGGCGATTGGTTCATGCAACGCGTCCATCCCATTCGACGCGGGCTCCTATGGGCACCGTGCAGGTAAGTTTTGCTCTGTGACTGCACTGCCAGAGCGCACAGCCACGAGGATCAATATTGAAACGAGGTAGGTGAAAACGGAATGCGATGCGCCCGTCTCCCTCCCTGTATGAGTGGGCGGATTCTGGCCTGGCTGAATAAGAGACGCGTGAGCACGTCTGGTTTCCTGCGTGCTAGCTACTACAGCGGCCAATGTTGGCGAACTTGGCACGGGCCACTGCGAGCAATGTACCTCACTCTGGTCAGCAGATGGTACCTCTAGGAGAACCTACTTCTTACGCAAACATTTTAGACAAGAGACGAAACAGGCAGTGTTGAACGGACGTTTTACTTTCGTGTTATGCCGACACTTATGACGCAGGGATCGACCATGTGTTGCTTCTTTTCTTCCCTCTTCTTTTGTTTTTCTAATACTCTTCCCTGATTTCTGAGTGTAGGGCAGCCTCCTGAATGTTCATCGGGCTATTTCGCCTGCTTTATCCGTGTATCTTTTATTTCTTTCTTACGTCTCCCGTATGTTAACATAATGTTCTCACGCAAGTATACTTGGGAACTATACGGATAGAAAATTTGGACTTTATATAGATTCCGTAAGAAAACATAACAAATCATTTGTGTTGTGTGCAAATAATGTTAGTGTTCTTTACTGTAAAAAGGAGGCTACTCGTTAATGAATGCGCGTTGTTGAGCAGAATCTTCCCTCACTGGGTGCTTCTTGTATATTTCTAATTCAGTGATTTTCTGCGCTTAGTACTTCTGGCTTCTAAATCTGCTCTTCTGTAACGCAGCAACAGTCGTCATAATACTAACTACAATGTAGCGAAAGTTACAAACTATATCTTACCTGCTTTTGCTTAAGACCTAAGGAACTCTCCTTGAAGGATCTCGGCATATTGTTCAATATGTAGGCGTCTAAGGAGAAAATTGACACGACACCGCAAGGTTAAAAAAAAGAGCACTTGAGTGCGAAGTATTGCGAAGAGCATGTTAGTGTGAGTGAAAGTGAGCTTTCCGCTCAAGCGAATGACATTTAACCCTTCCGTAGTTTAACTTTGCCACGTCACAGTTTGCAGTAATAGGATGTTAAAGCATACAAACTGTATTTGTGAAAACGACACTTGAAAATAACCGCCCCTAAACTAGCACCAAGCAAAAAAAAACAGACGAAAGTCCATATTTTCGTGAATTTTACAAATTAAAATACTTCAGTTTTCTTAAAATATTTCATTGCCCCTTCACCCCCATTTTACGCTGAAGCCATCTGCTGCTCGTTAGTTTCTGCACTGACTCCAGGATCGGCTGACCTTTGAAAAACCGCTGAATTATTGTAATGATGGCACCAGATTACGTCATCAACACCATCGCGACATGCAACAGCATTATTATTACGCCGTAAACTTCGGCTGATCGTGAGGTCTTGATAACGTCACATTGTCCCATGACATCACTTGACATTTTCCTAAGTGTTGCGGTATCCCACCAGGTTTCGCGTCATCTCGCAGTGCCTCAGTGCATCTCTACAAGTATCACCACGTGTAAATATCTTGTCTCGCGAGTTACGAAGGTTTTGTTTTTGCTTTAATATTTATGGGCTTGGCCAGTAGGTATCACCGTGAGACGCAAAGTAAATTTGAAGAAATACCGTAGTGAAATGAATTCACGCACGTAATTATTGAAACTAAAAGTGACTTGGAGAACTATTACTTTGGAGAACGTAATGCTATTTGAAATTTTTATAGCTCCCATGTCGAAAAACCTAATGTGCGACAAAACCAAAGCGATTAAAGAACATACAGGGGTGGAAGCTCCCACAGCTTTCTAACAGCAAGCGAAAAGCCAGCATTTGCTTGTATCATAAATTAGCTTTAGGACAAGTCTGCGAGGACTAGCAGAACGAAATGGCTCTGCCGGGAACTTTGAGCTTGTGACCAGGCTACTGCCACTGCCACTGAATAAAAAAAACAAACCTTGTTGTTTATCTAGCGGACATAATATACTGCATAAGTCATACAGTCTTCTTGAAATGCAATAAAGAGATTTTTTTAATACATCGTATTATGGTTACCTTAAATGACCGCTTAAGAACCCCTGAAAATACGACGAACAAGCCCGTTGTTCTCTTTCCTGTCGTTTCCCAACTTTGAGGCGCTATCGATGATCCTATGAGCTTGTTCACGCGAAGTCAGGATGAAATAAGCTCTCGATTGGTCTATATTCGAGAGACATTTGTTTTCAAATGGGTCGTAGACGACCTTACCATGTACCAGCATACCCGTTCTGTGTTTTTTTCGCAGGAGTATGACGCGCGATAGAGTGATTTCAATCCGGCTTGTGCGTTTGTCACTGCGCTAGCGTAGATATCTGGGTGTAGTCATTGAGTGCTAAATCCAGACTGGTGGAAGTCTCGTGTTTTGTGTAGAAAAAACTACACCACTCCTCACTAAAGGGGACCATCAGGCGATGCGAAGCAGTGCGGCGGATTCACACCGCGTTTGCACTAGTTTGACTAGGTATTTACGTTAATGATTTAGTCAATGTTGCGTATTTAGTGATATCGTTTGTGTTGATGTCCTCATGTTGTGATTAGCGTAGACATTTGTCAAACCGATACCGACGCGGAAGGCACCCCCGTTATGCTTGGCATCGCCTCATGATCCCCCTTTAGTAGGTAGGTAGGTAGGTAGGTAGGTAGGTGGGTAGATAGGTAGGTAGGTAGGTAGGTAGGTAGGTAGGTAGGTAGGTAGGTAGGTAGGTAAATAGGTAGTTAGGTAGGTAGGTAGGTAGGTAATAAACTGAATAAAAATTCAACGAGTACAGCAATGAACCCCGTCCATGCGTCCATACGCCCGTGCAGCCATCCATGCGTCCGTCCTTGCATCTGTCTGTGTGTCCGTTCGTCCATCTAGTCAACACTCCAAGTACCCATCTCACAACTTTTCGCCGAATGGATGGATGGATGGATGGATGGATGTGGCTGTACCCTTTAGATCGGGCGGTGGCTAGCGCCACCAAGCCGAAACATTTACTGAACCAAAAACTAGATTTATTTTTTCCCTTAAATAGTGAGGTTGAGGATTCGTACTTTGCAGTGAAGGGTTTCATTTCCACTCGTGCCTTGACTTTAGCCACCAATCAGATAACCTCCTTCTAGTTAATTCTACCCGCTTAAAGTCTATTTTGTCCTCACTGTCCCTAAACCCCAGTGCTTTGAAAAACTCTGCGCCATCATCCTGAACTATAGGGAGAAGCCCTTTACAGAACAGTATCAAGTATTCGGCAGTTTCTTCTTCCTCTCCACACACACTGCATACCGTGTCTACCCCTTCGTATTTGGCCCGATATGTCTTGGTTCGCAATACTCCCGTCCTGGCCTCAAACAGTAGAGAACTACCCCGAATATTATCATTGATCCTTTCCTTGGCAATTTCCAGCTTAAAAGTTCGATAGCTCTCTAGTGCGGACTTATTAACCATGTCAATTCTACACACATCGCTCTCAGCTTCCTTCACCTTCTTCTTAACCGATTATTTTTTTTTTGGTTTCGCCCCCTGCTGTTTTCCAAGTATTTACAGTCAATTTTCTGGCTCGCTTCCACCATTTTGAATCGACATTCTTCATGTACAAGTAGCTGAATACCTTCCTAGCCCAACGCTCCTCCCCTATTTCTCTCAATCGCTTCTCAAACTTTACCTTGCCGCTAGCCTCCCTGCCCTCAAGTGATGTCCATCCCATATCATCTTGTACTCCCTGATTTGGTGTATTCCCGTGAGGTCCTAAGGCAACCCTACCTATTCCACGTTGCTTAATTTCTAATCTTGCTTGAACTTCGGATCTCATGCACAAAACTGCATTGCTGAACGTCAGACTAGGAACCATGACCCCTTTCCATATTCCTCTCACAACATCATACCTGTTGTATTTCCACAGTGCCCTGTTTTTCATTACCGCTGCATTCCTGTTACCTTAAGTGGACACGTATATTTCGTGTTCTTTTAGGTACTCGGCCCCATCGCTTATCCATACGTCCATATATTTGTATTTATCCGTTATCTCTAGCGTGACCTCCTGTATTCTAGGCTCTCTACATTTGTTGTCACTAAATATCATGACTGCGGATTTTTCCTTAATCAATCTAAAATCTAACCTATCTCCCTTATTACCGCAGATGTCCACCAATCTCTGCAAATCTTCCTTGTTGTCGGCCATTAGCACTATATGATCTGCGTACATCAATGCTGGTAGTGCCTATTTAATAAGGTTTCCTTGTTTGACGAAAGAGGGGTTGAAGCCCAGTCCACTTCCCTCAAATTTGGCCTCTAATCCTTTTAGGTACATCATGATTAATAATGGTGACAGGGGAAACCCCTGCTTAAGCCCCCAATTTACCTCTGCAGGCTTAGATACCCGTTTTTCCCACTTTATTTTTACCCTTTTACCCTTATAGATATACTTTAAAAAATTAGTGACTACATCTTTCACGCCTAGTGTGTCAGGTATTTCCCACAGTTCCTTTTGAACCACGCTATCGTACGCCCACTTGATATCCAAAAATGCCAGCCACAGAGGCCTGTGTTCCTTTTCTGCTATTTCTATGCACTGTGTCAGTGAGAACAGATTGTCTTCCAACCTCGTGTGTTTTCGAAACCCATTCTGCAGTTCCCCAAGCACCCCCTCATCCTCTGCCTATGCCTGCAGTCTTTCCTTTATAATCTTCATCGCAAGCCTGTAGACCACTGATGTCACTGTTATAGGACGGTAGTTGTTTATGTCAGCTTTGTCCCCCTTTCCTTTAGAGATCATGCTAATCTTGCTAAGTTTTCATCCGTCCGGAACTTCTCCATCGATTATTATTTTGCTCACTGCCTCGCTCAAAGCCTGCTTAGACTTCGGACACAATGTCTTTATCAGTCTAATTGGAATGCCATCTGGGCCTGTTGATGTATTACTTGGAACCCTCTTCTCAGCCCTTTCCCACTCTTGTTGTGAAAATGGAGCCATTGCGCCACTTGATTTATCCTTGTCTATTGTGGTGCATAAAGCACTTCTTTGTTGAAATTTTTCTGTCACCGTTGTTCTTATATATTGCCACAGGCATGGAACGAGGTTTAGCCATGCCAAAGCGAGTATGTGCCATGGTGTGAAAGAAGAAGGGGACGGTTGGTGCGCTCGTGCTCTAACGTTCGGTTCGGCTCGACGTTCAGTGCTGCTCCTGTGAATAGACGTTGTGGTCGTTCTGTGATCACGTCACATTTTCTGGTGGAGGTGCTGGGTAGTGTTGTATGCACTGCAATCAGCAGCAAGGTCCCGACACTAGCCGCGACTTGGAGGAACCAGCTGACCTACGGCGTAGCAGGCGACAACTAGGCCTACCTCCTGAATTCGGACCATTTCCTCAACTCGGCAGTACTATGGCTAGTGCGGGAACGCAAACCCAAGAAACATCAACGCTGCCTCCTCCATGGTTCTTCCTCGTCCCGCGTACTCCGAAGCCGTTCCACGGTGACCCTTATGAGGACGTCGACGACTGGCTCGACGACTACAACAGTTGCGGCAGCGTCAACGAGTGGAACGAGCAGCAAAAGCTTCGGTACGTCTACTTTTATTTCGAGGACTCTGCGCGCACTTGGTTCGAAAACCATTAAGCCACTATGACAACCTGGCCAGAGTTTTGCAACCAGTTGCGAAGTACTTTCCGAAGCTCTGACCAAAAGGAGCAAGCGGAACGGCTCCTCAATTCCCGAAACCAGCGTCCGAACGAGAGTGTTGCCATGTTCTTTGAGGACATGACGCGGCTGTTCAGGCGAGCCGACTCTTAAATGACGGAAGAAAAGAAGGTGCGCCTCCTAATTTGTGGAGTGAAGGAGCAGCTGTTCGCGGGACTAGTGCGGAACCCTCCCGGCACTGTAGAGGAT